TCTTATCTCTGTATGCCTTTGCATATTTTCTCTTAGCATCTCTATACTTGTATTTGCCTCCATTGGACTGCATTAAATCCAATCCATTATTTCTGACATTGGAAACAGTAATTTTAAGAATCAAAAGTTTTGCAACCTAGTGTTTTGTATAACTGTGCTAAAGATGCTCACTTATCAATATTTGGAAGTGAAGTAAGATATGTTTAACTTACAAAGGATATGTAATGTGCCACTTTTGCATGCTACTTTCAGCTATGCTCCACTTTAATCTATATTTAACAATGGCCTCAAGAGTGAGACAGTAGGTCACTTAAATTTATGTCACTGTATCTGAAGGTTTATAACAATCACTGCAGATATCTGCACTGCCATTACCCTCACGATGTATTTTACCAAATTTTGGTTTGGAGTCAACAATATTCACTTCCAGAATCATATCACACATTGCGTGGTCAAAATTGGGCTTGCATCGTCTGTTAGCAAGTCAGACATTACAAATTTGGTGAGGGGTCAGGGGAAGGATCAGTAACATTAAAAACCCCCCGTAACCTCAGAATTGCATGTTATGCTTTTTACATTTTCCCTCAGTCACACCTCTGTGATCTTTTAGTCGGCTGATTGATTAAATTATTAGTGAGGTGAGAATCATTGAGCTGCTGCAACTCACAGAAAGTGAATGAATAACTACCATAATCAAATCTCACTGTACAGTCCGAGAGTCATAGAGATGTACAGCACAGAAACAGACCCTTCGGTTCAACTTGTCCATACCGACCAGATATCCTCAATAAATCTAGTCCCGTTTGCTAGCATTTGGCCCAAATTCAAGTCCAACTAATTTATATTAGCTTCTCATGAATAAAATAACCACACTATTCCTTTAGCAGATAAAAGAACACTTAATTCTCCATGAAACCTACCTAGTTATCTTAAACAAGCTTAGTTTTCTCCTCAAAAGAAGTATATCTGTGTGAAGTGACCTGCTTTTGAAACAACCACAACATATGACTGATCGTAAATAGATGTTTCATGTTTGTTCTTACTAACTGGAGAAAGGAGAATTGGGGGCTCTCTGTTGGATGAGCAAAGATTTCCTCCAACTAAATATTGGGTAGACTGAAGCCGCTCTCTTTGATCTCCATCATAAATTCCACCCCTTTTCCCAGCAACTGCCTGAAGCTGAACTAGGCTGTTCACAAACTTACTGTCATATCTGTCCCTGAAAGATGTGCTCAATGACATCGTGGACCAGACCATCATTATGACTGCATATTTTCACCTCCAGCGCTTTGCTTGCCCCTACACTAGCATTAGCATCTCTACTGCCAAAACCTCTTAAGCATGCCTTTCTTATCTCCAGTACTACTTCCCCCCACTATTTTATTTTATTCTGCTACTAGGCAAACCTCCGAGGTCTGTGCATGGCAGTGATTTTCCGAACTGGAAGTTAATACATCCTTGAGCTGATCAACGAGAGAAAACCCTCTGAGCAATTGTGCAACTGTGCAGATTGAAGGAAACATTGCTCCAGGTTTAACTATTCTAAAGCACCCATAGCCAGTCACCCCCAGTCTAGCATTTGTAATCTTGAGGTTATCTTGATAGCATCAAATTACCCAACATCGTTAGACTCACTAACTTACACTGCTGCACAGCTAACAGTTATCTTGATTTTAAAGTTCTCACCCATTTTCAAATCCATCCATGGCCTAAGTCCTCCTTATCTCCGTAATCTCCTTCAGCGTTATAACATGGCAAGATATCTGTGCTCCTCTATTTCGGATCATTTGCTTATTCCTGATTTGAATTACTCTATCATTAATGGCCATGTCTTTATTTGGATCAGGATGCCTCAGACCTCAGGCAGCGGCCTCATCATTTTACAATTTATGACAATGACTTAGATGTGGCAGCAAAAGCATGACAGCTAAATTTACACATGGAACAAAGCTAGGTAGGAAAGTATCTTGTGAAGAGGGCGCAACGAGGCTGCAGGCCAATCCAGACAGGTTGAGTAAGTGGGCAGAGATCTGGTAGATCAAGTATAATGTGCAAAAGTATGAACTTGTTGATTTTGGCAGGAAGAATCAGTATTATCAAAATGGAGAATGACAGCATAATTTCAAGATGTGAAGGAATTTAGGTGTGTAGAGGTGACAAAAAGTTAGCATGCATGTACAAACACGTGATTAAGAAAGCTAATGGAATGCTATCCCCCATAACAAAAAAGAATGTCATGCAGTTATTCACAGCATTTGTGAAACCACATCCCAAATACTGTGTGCAGTTTTGGTCTACTTAGTTAAGGAAGGATGCAAATGCAGGGATGGAGGCTCAGAGTAGAGGAGATTTACTGGACTGATACCTGGAATAAGCAGGTTATCTAAGCAGGAATGGTTGGACAGCTGGATTTGTTTCACTCAAGTTTAGAAGAGTGAGGAGTGATCTGATTGAAGCATAAAAGATCCTGAATAGTCGTGACAAGGTGGAATTGAAAAGGATGTTTCCTTTTGCGGGCAAGTCCAAAACTAGAGGGCCCTTTTTTTAAAATCAGGGGGCACCAGTTTAGAACAGAAATTAGGAGACTTTTTGTCCCTCTCAGAGGGTTTTATTAATTTGGAACAACCATGCCTCAGAAAATGGCAGTGGTGGAATCATTGAAAATTTTTAAAGCAGTGGGGGATAGATTTTCATTAGGGAAAGGAATCAAAGATTATTGGGAGTAGATGCAAATGTGGAATTGAAAACACAAACAGATCAACCCATGATCTTATTGAATGGTACAGCAGGGTCAAGGGACTAAATGGCCCACTTCTGCTCCTAATTCATATGCTCATATGCCTTCACTCTAAGCTTTGGAATTCCTTTCCTACACCTCTCCACCTCACTTTCCTCCTTTAAGCCATTCCTAATAATCTACTTCTTTGACTAAGCTTTTGATTCAAATTTTTAATTCCTCTCTGGCCATAGGGGAGGTACCTGAAAACTAGAGGATAGCTAATGTGATTCCATTTTCAAGAAGGCTGGCAGAGATACTATTGGAGAAAATTCTGAAGGAAAAATTTAATCTCCACTGGTTTGATCAGGGATAGTCAGCATGGCTTTGTCAGCGCAAAGCCTTTAACCGCATCGCACCTGGGAGACTAATAAAGAAGGTAAAAGATACCTTGGCAAGGTGGATCCAAAACTGGCTCTTCGACAGAAGAAAGAGAGTGGCATGAGAAAACCGTTTCTGTGACTGGAGGCAGTGTCCTATGGCACACCATAGGGATCAGTGCTGGTCCCCTACTGTGAGTGATAGATATTAACAATATAGGTGAGTTTGTAAGGAGGATGATGTGCAAGTTTGTGGATGACACAAAGATTGGTTGGGTGGTTGACACTGGTTGAAGAAGGTTAGGTTATACAAAGGTAATGACAGGTTGGTCAGATGGGCAGCTCAGTGGCAGATGGAATTTAACTCTGAAAATTGGGAGATGATGCACTTTAGAAGAAGTAACAAGACAAGGGAGTACTCACTGAACGACAGGATATTAGGAAGCTCAAAGGAACAGAGGAATTTTAGGGTGCGAGTCCACAGATCACTGATGGCGACAGTAAAGTTAATAGGGTGGTTGAGAAGGCATACAGAATACATGCCTTTAATCAGTCATGACAGAGATTATAAGAGCAGGGAAGTTATGTTGGAGTTGTAAAAATCTTTGGTTAGGCTACTGTTGGAGTACTGTATCCCATTCTTGTCACCACTCATGGAAGAACTGCACTGGAAGGGGTACAGAGGAGATTCACCAGGACATTGCCTGTGTTGGAGCATTCTAGTCATATAGAGAGGCTGGATAGGCTCAGGTTGTTTTCTTTAGAGCAGAGAAGGCTGAGGGGGGACCTGATTGAGATGTTTAAGATTATGAGAGGCAATGGACAGGGTAGATAAGAAGACATTTCTCTTAGTTGAAGGGCCACTAACGAGGGGGCAATATTTTAAGGTCAAAGGCAGGAGGTTTAAAGCGGATTTAAAGAAAACATTTTTCACCCAGACGGTGGTGGGAATCTGAAATGCACAGACTGGAAGGGTATTAGAGGCAAGAAACCTCACGACCTTTAAAAAGTATGTGGATGAGCACTTGAAATGTCATTATATTCAAGGCTGTGGGGCAAGTGCTGGAAAGCGGGATTAGTATAGGTAGGTCAACACAGATTGGAGGGTTGAAGGGCCTTTTCCATGCTGTATGAATCTAACTCTGATTCACACTTTGCTTGTAATGCCTCTGCGAAACACAGTGGTGCACTTATTCAGTAAAAATTGCAATAAGATCATGTCCTGCTTGTTGATGGAATGCACCACAACTTCTCAGTGGATGTCAACAACCTTTATTAAGTTTATTCATCAATACAGGAACAGGAAGAGAGAACATCACAGAAATCCTACACACTTGGGTCCCAGTTCCTGGTGAATGAAATTCAATCATACATGAATGTACCAGCTCTATCCGTTTATGTCATAGCTACTGGCAACATACCATAGCATCTTGTTGTTTCACAGATTCCAAAGCTGGGTTTACAGGAGTTTGACTGGTATTTATTACCAATTAAGATGTAATGGTATAATTTTCAGCTTCCTTACCTGAGTGATATTCTAATACTGAATTAATATTATTACCATGTCATTGTTTTTAGCTTCATCAACTCAGAGGACCAAGTGGCAAACCCGAAAACTAGCCTCGCAATCTTAACGTCAAGAGGGTAAGATCAAGCAACAGATACACAAGAGATAAAAATTCTCTCAAACTGAAGGCTTTCTGATTTTTGGGTCAAATTAAAACCTGCCAAGCTTTAGTAATGTCACCTAAACTTCAACATTAATAAAAAAAAAATCCCAGTATTGATACTCAACAGAGCACTTCCCAGGACACAGCTATGGCAATAAGACAGAAAGAGCTAACATTTAATTGATTACCCTCCTAGCTCTACAGTTCTCTAGAAGAATACAGGCTGCTCTTTACCTCAGGCATGAGCTTTTCCAGGTGTTCAACTCGATGATCATTTGATGGGTGAGTGGAAAACCATTCAGGAATTTGAAATGTTCCAGAAACAATCTTCATCAATTCCAATTGTTGCCAATATACACTGCTTGCTCTCACATCGATGCATGCCTATATTAATGAAAAATATTTGTGAAACAATAAAGCTTATCAATACAGATTTGATTACTTACTAAATAAATTTGATTTATTAGCCTCTTGTAATTATGTTTTACGAAAAGCACATCAGCATAAGAAAATGATAATTTGATTGATTTGTAGTGGATTTCATATTTGTCATATTGATTTATATGTTGGGCTGAAACTAATGGCTGGAGGAATGGTTCCATTCACTCACCAAAAAGCTGACAGCAACCCTGCTAAAGTCATTTTCAAAAGCCTCAACAACTGTGTACCTATCAGACAGTCTGATTAAAGGTACTGTGGTACTTTTATGTTCAAAGATCCCATCTCCAAGAGTTGCTAGTCAATCAGTAGGCCAGCAGCTCTAATGGGACCACAGAAACAATGGAGGAAACCCCAGAATGTGGATCTTGGAGAAGGTAGTCAGGGTCTGGTGGGTAGTAGTCATCACTGGTGGAGATGGAGATGGCCAATGACGAAAGTAACAAATTACTGAAGATAGTCTACCTTGGTACCAGAGGCTGCCCAATCAGGAGCTCTCCTTCCGCAGTCTCCTCCGCCAGTTGACATGGAGGACACCCAACCTTTACTGCCTGGCCTCTCAATGTGGCACAGTCTATCAGCAGGGGTGGCCTATCAGCTTCAGCAAGATGAGGCCCTTAAGTGGACATCAATGGGGCAGAAAGATTGCTGTCAACCTTCCAGTCTCAGACAAAATTGAAGGGAGTGGTGAAAGTCATGGGGTCCTCATATCCTCCTTCTCTTCCCTTTCTGTGATGCCTCCCTACCCACTCCAATGCACCTCCTGTAATATATTTTTATCAACCTGTTCAGAAATGTTATGACACACCTCTACAGCAGATGGAACTTGAACCCCGGCCTAACGACCTAATCACTAAACCAAAAGAGCCCTTGCATCTTCTGCTAAATATTTGTTAATCAACCTGTTCAGAGATGTTATTACACATCTCTGGAGCAGGTGGGACTTGAGCCCAGGCCTCCTGATCCAGGGACAGACACTACTATTGAGTCACAAGATCCCCTTGCGTCTCCTGCTACAAAATAAGTATTAATTGCATTCAGGTAGTGAAATTAATTGGGTGCACACCTGTGCTCTTATATACACACAAAAAGAGAGGCAATTTGTTGAAGGTGCGTGACATTCAAATGTGTGGCATCATATTAAAAAAAATGCTTACGAGTGTATTGAGACGAGGTTCAATTTTCCAGTCTTTACTGTCTGGCTATCTCAGTTGTAACATTTTCCACTATTAAGCATTCTCTAATTAAATCTGAAAGGATTCACTTCTGTTGGACCATATTATAGGGATAACTGAAAGTGACAGCAGCTGCAACATCTCAGGCCCACAAGTAAAATTTAGCAAAATACTAAAAGAAATAAAAAGAGGCAAATCATATTAAAGGCCCAGAGGTCTAATGTTGTTTCTTGCCCATGATGTAGATTTACACATGTTGGCAAGATTATGAACCGACAAAAAATGGTAATGACGTTTGTTACCAACAGTGCAGGCATTTAAAACGTTAGTTCTAAACATAGTTTAGATAAATAGTTCAAGCTAAAGCCTTAGAAATGTAATTCTACATAAAGAAAATTACTTGCATTTAAAAAATTAAGGTCACTCAATCTTACAGCTGGTAAAGATGAAAGAAAACCTGAAGTTCTAGTTCCAATCACCAATCTGTGCTAAATTAATTGATTGTAGTCAGTTGGTAGCATGTTAGCAATTGTGGGTTGGGCATAGGGTTAAAAGCAACAATAATTTCTATACCCAATTGTTACCCAGTGACTGTGGCTGAAAATCTGATCGCAGCCCTCTTGTAGCGCAGTGGTAGTTTCTATATCCTTGGACTGGGAGACCCAGATTCAAGTCTCACCTGCTCCAGAGGTGTGTAATGACATCTTTGAACAGGTTGATTAGGCAAAACAGATTGAAAGCTTCTGGGAGACCTCTGGTGGTACAGTGGTAGTGTCCCTACCCCTGGATTGGGAGGCCCAGGTTAAAGTTCCACTTGCTCCAAAGGTGTAAAATGACATCTCTGATCAGGTTGATTAGAAAATTGGGTTAAAACAAAAACAGTGGACTGAGAGTAGCGTGGATCCTGCAGCTGCTCCTGAGTTGCAGGCTTTCTTATGATTTTTACGTTGAATCATTTTTTGGAACATTTATAGTTCAAAAAAATGTTTTTAAAAATGGTGAAGGAGGAGAGCTTTTTTTAAAAAACGGAGTTTGTATGGGAGAGACCTCCATGTGCTGTCAAGCATCGATCTGGACGTGGATATTTTTTCCCTTCTGTTTCAAATTTTTATGCTTTAAAAATATATATGAAGGAGTATTTTTGCCCAAATGGAGTTTGTGCGGGAGAGGCCTCCAAGTGTTCGTTGAGTTTCAATCTGGAGAAGGATCTTTTTTATGTTCGAAACTTCATACTTCAAAAAACATTTACACAAAAAGAATTTGCAAAGAAGGAGAAATTGTTTTTACATACAGAGCTTGTGGAGAGGCCTACAAGTGGACAGCTCGGCAGAGAATTTTTTTTATCCAGACATTGAAAGCTGACAGTTGGCACAGGGAGTAAACTTGTTAAGTTGTTAAACTTGTTAAGAAATTTCTGAAGAAGGGTCCAGACCCGAAACGTCAGCTTTCCTGCTCCTCTGATGCTGCCTGGCCTGCTGTGTTCATCCAGCTGTACACCTTTTAAACAGGTCTCTTCTGCCCCAGAAAAATCCCAGTAGTCCAAAAAACTGAATCCCTGCACATTGCACCACCTTTTCAGCCATTGATGTATCTGCCCTATCCTTTTATTCCTTCCATCATTAGAACATGGGGGACTGAACAAGTTTACTCTTTGTGCCAACTGTCAGTTTTCAATGTCCGGATAAAAAAAATTCTCTGCCGAGCCGTCCACTTGTAGGCCTCTCCACAAGCTCCGTACGTAAAAACAATTTCTCCTTCTTTGCGAATTCTTTTCGTGTAAATGTTTTTTGAAGTATGAAGTTTCAAACATATAAAAGATATTTCTCCAGATTGAAACTCAACAAACACTTGGAGGCCTCTCCCGCACAAACTCCGTTTTTTAAAAAAACTCTCCTCCTTCACCATTTTTTAAAACATTTTTTTAGAACAGAGAACATAGAACATTACAGCGCAGTACAGGCCCTTCGGCCCTCGATGTTGCGCCGACCTGTGAAACCAATCTGAAGCCCATCTAACCTAAACTATTCCATTATCATCCATATGTTTATCCAATGACCATTTAAATGCCTTTAAAGTTGGCGAGTCTACTACTGTTGCAGGCAGGGCATTCCACGCCCTTACTTCTCTCTGAGTAAAGAACCTACCTCTGACATCTGTCCTATATCTATCACCCCTCAATTTAAAGCTATGTCCCCTCGTGCTAGCCATCACCATCCAAGGTAAAAGGCTCTCATTGTTCACCCTATCTAATCCTCTGATCATCTTGTATGTCTCTATTAAGTCCCCTCTTAACCTTCTTCTCTCTAACGAAAACAGCCTCAAGTCCCTCAGCCTTTCCTCATAAGACCTTCCCTCCATACCAGGCAACATCCTGGTAAATCTCCTCTGCACCCTTTCCAATGCTTCCACATCCTTCCTATAATGCGATGACCAGAAGTGTACGCAATACTCCAAGTGCGGCCGCACCAGAGTTTTGTACAGCTGCAACATGATCTCATGGCTCCGAAACTCAATCCGTCTACCAATAAAACCTAACACACCGTACGCCTTCTTAACAGCCCTATCAACCTGGGTGGCAACTTTCAGTGATCTATGCACATGGACACCGAGATCTCTCTGCTCATCCACACTACTAAGAATCTTACCATGAGCCCAGTACTCTGTATTCCTGTTACTCCTTCCAAACTGAATCACCTCACACTTTTCCGCATTAAACTCCATTTGCCACCTCTCAGCCCAGCTCTGCAGCTTATCTATGTCCCTCTGTAACCTGCAACCTTCCGCACTATCCACAACTCCACCGACTTTAGTGTCATCCGCAAATTTACTAACCCATCCTTCTACGCCCTCATCCAGGTCATTTATAAAAATGACAAACAGCAGTGGCCCCAAAACAGATCCTCGCGGTACACCACTAGTAACTGAACTCCAGGATGAACATTTCCCATCAACCACCACCCTCTGTCTTCTTACAGTTAGCCAATTTCTGATCCAAACTGCTAAATCACCCTCAATCCCATGCCTCCGTATTTTCTGCAACAGCCTACCATGGGGAACCTTATCAAACGCTTTACTGAAATCCATATACACCACATCAACCGCTTTACCCTCATCCACCTGTTTGGTCACCTTCTCAAAGAACTCAATAAGGTTTGTGAGGCACGACCTACCCTTCACAAAACCGTGTTGACTATCCCTAATTAAATTATTCCTTTCTAGATGATTATAAATCATATCTCTTATAATCCTTTCCAACACTTTACCCACAACTGAAGTAAGGCTCACTAGTCTATAATTACCAGGGTTGTCTCTGCTCTCCTTCTTGAACAAGGTGACAACATTTGCTATCCTCCAGTCTTCTGGCACTATTCCTGTAGACAATAACGACAAAGATCAAAGCCAAAGTCTCTGTAATCTCCTCCCTAGCTTCCCAGAGAATCCTAGGATAAATCCCATCTGGCCCAGGGGACTTATCTATTTTCACACCTTCCAGAATTGCTAACACCTCCTCCTTATGAACCTCAATCCCGTCTAGTCTAATAGCGTGTATCTCAGTATTCTCCTCAACAACATTGTCTTTTTCCTGTGTGAATACTGACGAAAAATATTCATTTAGCGCCTCTCCTATCTCTTCGGACTCCACGCACAACTTCCCACTACTGTCCTTGACTGGCCCTAATCTTACTCTAGTCATTCTTTTATTCCTGACATGCCTATAGAAAGCTTTAGGGTTTTCCTGGATCCTACCTGCTAAAGACTTCTCATGTACCC